ATACATACATACATACATGCATACATACATACATGCATACATGCATACATACATACATACATACATACATACATACATACATACATACATACATACATACATACATACATACATACATGCATACATGCATGCATACATACATACATACATACATACATACATACATACATACATACATACATACATACATACATACATACATACATACATACATACATACACATACATACACACATACATACATACATACATACATACATACATACATACATACATACATACATACATACATACATACATACATACATACATACATACATACATACATACATACATACATACATACATACATACATACATACTTTATTTTTTTTCGGTATTTGGAGGAGCTCTCGGTTACGAGTGTTACATTCATGTATATTTGATCGTTTACTAAATTTATTGCACAAGTAAGGTGGGGCTAGATTGTTAATACACTTGTACATCAAAACTGTATCTCTAAAATGTAAGTGTTCCTTAACTGGAAGCCAATTGACCATTTGCGTAATAGACTAAATTTTGATCTCAGCAAAAATTTCATTACAGCTTGAAAGAGCATCACAAAATTAGTAATATTCCAAAGTTTCGTTACAAGATGTTGTAAAATGCGGAAAATATAGCCTTGCAAAATTTGCAATTTTCAGTCATTTTAGATTACAAACCGGAAATTGACAGCCTCGAAGGGTTTGGGGCTGTCAATTTCCCGTTTGTAATCTAAAATGACTGAAAATTGCAAATTTCGCAAGGCTATATTTTCCGCATTTTACAACATTTTGCAACGAAACTTTGGAATATTACTAATTTTGTGATGCTCCTTCAAGCTGTGATGAAATTTTGGTCTAGACTTGTTTAGTTCAAAAGTTAGTCTATTACGCAAATGGTCAATTCAGTTCTTGCAGTTTTGGTGAGATATGATCGGACTTCTTGCTGTTTGTCACGATCCTACACGCGAAGTTTTGTACGAGTTGTAGCCCACGCCTGGCATTTTTGCACGCGAAAACGCTAGTTCGCCATTCATGATGACCTGCGGTATTTTTCAAAAAATGTTGCGTACGCATATTTAATTTGACAAGATGGCGACCTTTCGAAATGGCAATGGGCTATTCCATTTAATATCCGTACCCCCCACCCTGTCGAGGATCCCTGGAATTCTTCAGGGGTAAAGGGTTTTGAGCTTGGAATTCTTCAGGGGTAAAGTGCTTTGAGCTTGGAATTCTTCAGGGGTAAAGTGTTTTGAGTTTGAAATTCTTCATGGGTAAATGGTTTTGAACTTGGAATTCTTCAGTGGTAAAGGGTTTTGAGCTTGGAATTCTTCAGGGGTAAAGAGGTTTGAGATTGAAATTTTTCAGAGCTTGGAATTCTTCAGGGGTAAAGGGTTTTGAGCTTGGAATTCTTCAGGGGTAAAGTGTTTTGAGCTTGGAATTCTTCGGGGGTAAAGGGTTTTGAGCTTAGAATTCTTTAGGGATGAAGGGTTTTGAGCTTGGAATTCTTCAGGGGTAAAAGGTTTTGAGCTTCGAATTCTTCAGGGGTAAAGGGTTTTGAGCTTGGAATTTTGGAATTCTTCAGGGGTAAAAGGTTTTGAGCTTGGAATTCTTCAGCGGTAAAGAGTTTTGAGCTTGAAATTTTGGAATTCTTCAGGGGTAAACAGTTCTGAGCTTGGAATTCTTCAGGGGTATAACTATGAAAAACATGTATCCTCGACAGGGGGGGGGGTTACGGATATTAAATGGAATAGCCCAATTTTAGTCCTGACAAGGTCTTAAATCAAGATATTTTGAATAACAACTGTGTCGAACGGCCGGTAGATTATTTGCAGAAAGTAATGGAGGCCTTTGGTAGCTTCACTCGGGAGAAAAGCTGCCAAAATGTCGCGTTTTTCGTGGATGAATGTGCCTAGCAAGTTCAAACTGTACTCGAAGCTCATGATTCTCTGGATTAAATGTGCCACGGGAGATGACTAATTCCATAAACCCAGCGTCAATACTACAAAGGGAAGCTCGGCTGTGGCTGGCAGGAATTCGACAGCGGATAGGGGCCAAGAGGAGATTAATGTCCAATACCCATGCAAGATGCCCGGTGGAAAACTCAAAAGGCCATTGGACATTCCATTTGTCAAATGGACTTGGAAATGTCCTTTGGAGTTTTGTTTGTCCATTGGATCCAATGGACAAGTGGAATTTCCATCGGACATTTGCTTTTTCAGTTGGTCAATTACCATGTATTTGAGTGACGTAATGACAAACACATGGACATCATGTAGATACAAGGCCAGTGAGATAGCCAAACGAAAGTGTCCATTGGATCCAATGGATCCAATGGACCTGGAAATGTCCATTGGAGTTTTGTTTGTCCATTGGATCCAATGGACAAGTGGAATTTCCATCGGACATTTGCTTTTTCAGTTGGTCAATTACCATGTATTTGAGTGACGTAATGACAAGCACATGGACGTCATGTACATACAAGGCCAGTGAGATAGCCAAACGAAAGTGTCCATTGGATCCAATGGATCCAATGGACCTGGAAATGTCCATTGGAGTTTTGTTTGTCCATTTGATCCAATGGAAAAGTGGAATTTGCATCGGACATTTGCTTTTTCAGTTGGTCAATTACCATGTATTTGAGTGACGTAATGACAAGTACATGGACATCATGTAGATATACAAGGCCATTGAGATAGCCAAACGGATTGTCCATTGGATCCGATGGATCCAATGGACTTGCAAATGTCCATTGGAATTTTATGTGTCCATTGGATCCAATGGACAAGTGGAATTTCCATCGGACATTTGCTTTTTCAGTTGGTCAATTACCATGTATTTGATAGACGTAATGTTAAGCACATGGACATCATGTAGATACAAGGCCAGTGAGATAGCCAAAAGAAAGTGTCCATTGGATCCAATGGATCCAATGGACCTGGAAATGTCCATTGGAGTTTTGTTTGTCCATTGGAGTTTTGTTTGTCCACTCCAATGGAATTTGCATCGGACATTTGCTTTTTCAGTTGGTCAATTACCATGTATTTGAGCGACGTAATGACAAGCACATGGACGTCATGTAGATACAAGGTCATTGAGATAGCCAAACGAAAGTGTCCATTGGATCCAATGGATCCAAAGGACCTGGAAATGTCCATTGGAGTTTTGTTTGTCCATTGGATCCAATAGACAAGTGGAATTTCCATCGGACATTTGCTTTTTTAGTTGGTCAATTACCATGTATTTGAGTGACGTAATGACAAGCACATGGACGTCATGTAGATACAAGGCCAGTGAGATAGCCAAACGAAAGTGTCCATTGGATCCAATGGATCCAATGGACCTGGAAATGTCCATTGGAATTTTGTTTGTCCATTGGATCCAATGGACAAGTGGAATTTGCATCGGACATTTGCTTTTTCAGTTGGTCAATTACCATGTATTTGATAGACGTAATGACAAGCACATGGAGATCATGTGATAGACGTAATGACAAGCACATGGAGATCATGGAGATACAAGGCCAGTGAGATAGCCAAACGAAAGTGTCCATTGGATCCAATGGACCTGGAAATGTCCATTGGAATTTTGTTTGTCCATTGGATCCAATGGACAAGTGGAATTTCCATCGGACATTTGCGTTTTCAGTTGGTCAATTACCATGTATTTCAATGACGTAATGACAAGCACATGGACGTCATGTAGATATACAAGGCCATTGAGATAGCCAAACGAATTGTCCATTGGATCCAATGGATCCAATGGACACCGTGTTTTCCGTTGGAAAAATATTTGTCAGATGGATCAAATGGGCAAGTGATTTCGCGTGCGGGCATAATATTGCTACAGCAGTTAGCGAATAGTGGCTGCAGAATGTGGAAATATTCAATCATACTTGTTTTGAGTATTTTTTTTGCGTTCTTGTTAAAGTGTGTAAATCTACATAATTAAAATGACAATGTGACTATTATTGCTACAGACATGTATATTTGAGGTTTGGGCGAAGGTTAATATTAGTATAAAACCTTCTGCTGCTTGGCCGTTTACTACATTTTACTGTAATATATGTCAAAAGCCACGCAATTCTATTCGACTAGTATTAAAGATTTTCGTTTTCACTTTCGTTCGCACGTACTGACTTTGGCTTAAAACACATTAAAGCATTTTAAAGATGTTGTAGTCATAGACGCGAAAGCTGGATTCAATAGGGCAAGTGATTGATTCGTGCGTGCATATTGCCGGAGCAGTTAGTGAATAGTGACTGCTGGCATATTGAAATATGTAATCATTCTTGTTTTCATTCATTTTTGCGTTCTTGTTAAGTTTTTATTTTTCTACTCGTATTTTTAGTGTAAATGTAGAGAATAAGAATTAGCATTTTAGTAAAGCCGCTACAGAGTATATTGGGAAGGTTATAAGTTTAAATTTATAAACACAGCAGCATGAAACATGAGGCCGCCGCGAAATTCTATCCGACTAGGAGTAAATTACATTTTCGGCGTTTCCATGCAGTCTTGATATATAATTATGAAACATATATGTCGTGCGTGGTGACTTTGGCTTACGTTAAAGGTACGTTGAAAAGATTTAAAAATGTTGGATTTGAACACAAGCTTTCGACTGTGGAAGAACTGTGAGGAAAACTGCACTGGCGGTCAAACCTAGAAAGTTTGTATTGATACATTTTTAATTCATTTCTTCTTGGTAGCAGCAGCACTGACGAAATTGAGCAGTTTAATAGTAGCGACGGCGTTGGCAATGACCAAGGACTAGTTTTTACCAATTTTGACGCGATGTAAGATGAGATGTTATACAATTACGATCATAATTTGCATATAAGTTTGGCATAGGAAACGAAGTGACTGTCAGTATAACACTATTGATATACTGATATGTTGTCATGGATTATGGTGAACGTGTAAGATAGGAAGTATTTATATTTTGCCGACACATGCATGTATCATCATATGTTATTTCGCCATACGACCTTTTTTATCTTTTATTAAGTAAAGGACAGAAAAAAATCCTTGGGCTCCTTGCAGCAACTGCCATAGAATTGCAAATTCAAATTATATACAAACCACATGTAATTAAAAATTCAGTTATTATAGCCTTTACATAAATAGCTAGGCGGATCTATCGCTTTGACAGTTCACCTGAAATTCGAGTACGTTCCATATAACTGATAGATTGTGTTGGAAGAGTAACAAAAGTGAAAGACGTCTTTAATTTCTGCGTGAAAAACTAATTAGTCTTTGTAAAAAGTCGTGGCAATTAATAAGTGCTTAATATACAAGCAGCGAATAAAAAAAGAACATAAACCCCCCAAAAATCTGTTTGAGTGGGTTGGATAATGATGAGGCTAATATATCCGTGTCGAACATCAATACTTGCCTTGAATGCATGCCGCCTGTTATGTTTGAGTTTTGGCGGAACTGGGTGAAAAGTCGTTTTTCGCGCGTAAAAAGTCTTGCGTAAAAGTCGTAATGAGTCGAAAAATACCCTAAATTTGCGGTTTTCCCTAAAAAGTAGCCGCCTGCTCTCAGCCGGAATGGCCGCTGCTGAGGAGGCTAGCTAAAAAAAGCATTTTAATTTGTGGAATAATTTCTGTTCAGTAAAAAGCATCATAAGTGATGTCCAATGCTCAACTGAATAGTTTAAAATGCAATGTGTGAAGCCTGGTTTTTACTGGCGACATAATAATATTATAAGCAAGACAAAAAAAAAATTCCTTACAATTTGCTTTTTTCTACCATATAGGTATATTTTCAAATCCCAGGAGCAAATAAGTAGCACAGACATTGAAATGCTAGTAA